TTATATACAAATCTAAAATTGTATATATTCCTAGTGAATTGATCCTTTTACAATTAGTTAGTAGCCTTCTCCATCTTTAATAACACTATTATAGCCTAATTTTGACTTGATACCACTAAAGCTATACAAGTTTTCTTTTGCTATTTCCCTAATGCATTTTTCCATCTTTAAAAAAATCCAGCCTATAGCGGATTTTTAAAAAACTAAATAAATGTTTTTAACTGGGTTTACTCTATTCATATTTATTTTAGTTATTATTTGATTTATTACTACTATCTTACTAATTTTGTACCTCCCTCATCCCAATTTCCTCCCTTTTTCTATACTTTAAACTTTTGTCTTCCTACTCTGTATTTTAAACTTTTCTTTGGAATGATTCATCCCATATGTATTATTTTAGCTGTTACATCTGAAATTTTACTATGCATATTTAACATAATTTCAAAGTTAATCAGGATCTTAACCCATTTTCTGAGTAATAAAATTCCTCAGAACACTTTAATTCTAATCATCCTCCTCCCATTTTTATAAGCTATTGTCCAGTTTTTCAATTATACCCTATTTTAAAAGTCCACATTAATGCTGTATAAAATGTTTATTTAGTTTTACTTTGTTACAATCTTACTTCTTATAAACACTTCTTTCATTATGATTGTCTTACATAATAATAACACTTTTGATTTACATATGTTTTTCATTTATTTGCTCACTAGTTCTTCAATTTCAGACCATCCTTTTGGAATCACTCTCCTTCTTGAAGATCCTCCTCCTGCAATTTCTTTAATGAAGCTCCACTGATGGTAAAATCTGTTTTTCGTGTGAACATGTCTTTATTTCAGTTTTGCTTGGTACAAATTCCAAGTTGATAATTTGTTTTTCTCAGAATTTGGAAGGCATTATTCCACCATCTTTTGGGTACATTGTTGCTACTGAGAAACCATCTGAAGTATCTGTCTTGCCTTCGCTGATGATCTTTTCCTCCCTTTGATTGCTTCAACAATCCTGTTTGGTATCTCGCAGTTAAACTGCTTTGGGTTTAGGCTTGGATTTTACTTATATATACTTGGGATATATTGTGCTTCCTGAATTTATGAATTCATGTTTATCCAACAGTTTTTATTATCTCCTCAAACACTGCCACACCTCCATCCTCTCTGTTCTCTCCTGCTAGTACCTGTAGTCTCTGTAATTCTTCCTTCCATATCTGTTAACTTCTCTTTTTATATTTATATTTCTAGCACCTTGTTTCTTCTTGCCGCACACTGGATAATTTCTTTAGATCTAGCATCCAGATTATGTATTGTCTCTTCAGCTGAATCTAAAATGATTTTCAACATATCTGATTTTTTTTTAATTGAAAGTAACATATTTCTCATCTAGCAGTTCCATTTGTTTCTTTTTCAGATCTGCCTATGGTTCCATCCTTTAGGTATACTGAAGGTGAGATCTTGGAGAACTGAATCCTAAGTTTATTTCTATAGGTTCTTTCTCATGCTAGCTGGTTTCAACTTGTATCTGGTGATTTCTAGTCATGAAATAATATTGCTTTATCTTAATCTATAGGAATCTTGGGCTTATATTTTGCTTCTGCCAGGAACTGTAGGGTATTATAAACTGAGATCCAGTTCAACTGTCTTGGCTGGGGTAGCATCTCAGATTTAGATTTATGTCATTTCTGGTCTGTGGAGAACGGCACATGGAAGTGCTGTAATTGGTATTTGTCATCTAGGCAACCAATGTCCACCTGTATGCTTAAAATAGTTTACACAGTTCCCAGATCAAAATGTACTCATTTTGTTGGGGAGAAAAAATAGAGGTATGGTTCCTAGAGATTTCCCTTACTTTCTTTGAGTCTATTAATGCATTTAAAAGTACATTTCATTCTACTATAAAAGTAAATTTTATTCAGGATCCAGTTGTTTTGCAATACCTAATGTACTACCAGAAGCAAAAGTCTTATTTAATATATTAAGTTATGATATACTAACCTGAAAAAGTACATGATTTATGACAATCCTTGCTGATTCAAACCTCTTTGGAAGTTTCCTACCCTTCAGCTGGAACTCAATCAGTATTGTGGAAATGAATGTAGAAACATCCTAGAGTATGAACTTACCCAATAAGTCATTGCCCCACTTTGTAGAAATTTCTCCTGTTGTTTTACAACCAAGATATTCAGTTAAGCCTGACTACTCAAATTTTCAATGTCATGATCAATATGTAGTTCAGATCAACAGGACTAAAACTTATGAAAATAAACCATCATTCTGAACATTTTTAAAATAGATAAGAAAGATTTGTTACATGCAACTTCTATCCAGATGCAGAACTTTATTCTTGGAAGCCTGAGCCATCTATAATATAAGCAGGGCTAAACAAGGCAGCTGGTGATCTCATTTTAGTTAGAAACACACCTAATAGGCATCACGGCAGCAGATCTGGCTGCTATTGTCTCAAATGCAGATGGATTATTTGCATCTTTATTATTCATAATTGTTGGTCAGTGTTCTCTGGATGATCATGAAGCTCTTTGTGTCTCACCCTAATCACTGAAGTAATGAAAGGAGATACCCGCAGCAAGGGCTGCAACTGCAAACGCTGCAATCACACCTAAAAGTAAAACAAACACAAAACAAACGGAAATGGAATGAGCAAAAGAAAGGCTCAACTGATCCTAGGCTTTGAAATGCAGGTAACTGATGGAACTAAACAACAACAATACACACACACACACAAATACATAGTACACTTACACACATACATATACAGGTCTTAAAAGCCAGCAAAATCTTAGAGGAAAATATACCATTAAGTTGAAAAAATAATTTACAAAGGTTGAACTGGTAATCATGTACTTCACCACCTTAGTAAAACCTTAAAATAAAAAAGTGTCTCTCTTATTATACACATAAGTGCACTCACACACATCTAAGAGACAATCTAAGAGACAAACTACCACGTACTTCAAAAGGCTTCTATAAATATTCATACTGACATTACAGCTATCTCATGCTATTTAGTTGAAACCAAAAGACATCTCCAATAGGCAGGGGTTCTCCATAATTACAATGTAAAGTCATTTGTACAGCCATTGAAAACTACAGAAACTAAAATTTAAGAATTATTATGTTTGGGTTAGTTACTTTTTTTTTTTCCTGAGTATTGTTAAGTTAAAACAACAACAAAACTGACCATAGTAGTCAACACACACACACACACACACACACACACACACACACACAAACACAGGTACAAAGAATTTAGGTAATTAACTTAAGTTTACCTAATGAGTAAGTGACAAGAAAAATAACCAAAATTTCTGGCTTATACCTTAGTTAAGTCTTAATGTTTATAAAACATTTCTTGATTGGTATTCCACTAGACAACAGTCTACATGCTCTTTGATCAATAAATCTGAAAAATTTTAAAGTAACTGCCACACTTCTTGGAGCCTTTAAAATACTGAAGTGCATTAGAATTTACAGACTTGAATTTGACATTTTTCTTAGAACACGTTATCAAAATCTTCCACAATAGCAATCCTGGGAACATCAGTTTAGAGAATACTGGCACTACTATACTAATTGATTCCCAAAACTCAACATGGTTTCCTTCTAAAAATGCCAAAAAAATTAATAGGAAGTGCCATCTCTGAGGGCACTTGGGACAATGCTTTATTTAGAAACCTATCTCTTAGGGACTATCACTTTCCATAATACTCAGGACATACTGGCCTAATATAGCTCTTTTAAGAAAGCAAAATGAAATGAAAATAATTTTAAAATAACAACAAAACTCAAATCCAAAATACCATCTTCAGTGTTACAGAAGAAATATAATACCTATGTTTTGCTGAATTTTCAACGCTATTGTAGTTTTAATTGGCTGCTTTGGTTGTTCATCATCTGTGCTGTCCGATGAAACTTCAGTATTCATAGAGGAACTCATATAAGCTGCAAGAGGACAATAATAATAAATCCTAAATAAAATGAGAATAATTACTATTTAAAAATGAGTTTTAAAGAACATTATAAAAAATATATACAATGAACTCCATTTTCCTTCAACCTGACTTTTTAAAATATAATGAATTTGTTCTTTATTAAATGTAGGCAAATTAAATTTCATGGAATATATGTCAAACTGATACATTTTTAAAATATTTTATGTACTTTTATAACTGAAGCTAGAGAGCCACAGAATCAGTCCTGAATGACTACCACAAATTATAAACTGATTACTATATGGTAGTAGAGATAAACTGATACCAAAAATCAAACTAGGTAGAACAGGGTAAACTTTCACTCTTAATTGGGATTAATTTATATCATCCTTATTGGTGATTTTATCAATTAACATTTTTAAGTAGTTTGATATTAATAATAAAAGCAGGAATCTGCAAACGATAGCCTGTGGGCCAAATTGCAGCCCATGGGACAGACTTTACATGCCCTGCAAAGCCTAAAATATTTACTACTTGGTCTTATATAGAAAAAGTTTGCTGATTCGTGATCTAACCTGGAATTTGAAATATATAAGCACAATGTGATCAGAAATTTGCCCTTTAAGTAACTCAATGTTAAGCAAAGTTACATACATTATCTCATTTACAGTTGGAAAATAAAACCTGGGACGTTAAGTGCGTATTTGAGGGTCATGGGCAACAGAATGAAGATTCAAAGACAAGTTCTCTTTCTATTCATTATGCTGACAATAATTGATATAGGTTAGCTTAGCTGAATTTATTTAACACTGATTAAAAGTGTTTGATTTGAAAACATCCTTAGGGATTATACAGACCAATGGTTTCCTGTTTTTTAACCAGTGCTAGAGAATCTGACAGAAAACTGCAAAATGTAAAATAGATGAAAGCAGAATCACTCTGGTTTAAGAAACGATGAAGGACTCCTGGAGCCAGACTCCCTCTTCCCCCTCAAAGGTGATAGCAGAGTGCTGTTCTATAGAACTCCAGGGAATTATGTTTGAAGGCAACTGCAGTTGACAACTGAACAACATGGGTTTGAACTGTGTGGGTCCACTTATACACAATTTTTTTTTTCACTAAAAGACTTGGTCCACAGTTGGTTGAATCCATGGATACAGAACTGCCCATATGGAGAGCCTACTGTGAAGTTATATGTGGGTTTTCAACTGTGCAAGGGTCAGCACCCCTAACCCTGTGTTGTTCAGGGGTCAACTGTACTTCATGGTTATTCCTACATTTACAAAGAAGAAAAGAGAACCACAGAGTGAGAGACAGTAACTACTACTATTATTGCTTGGATTTTAAATATCTTTTACAGACACTGTACCCAAAATACTACACATAAAGATATGCTCACAAGGATGACACATACATTTATTGAAATTTTGTTATCAAAATGGATGAAAAAAATTTGCCTGTTTCTCATCAATTTCCCATGAAGAAAAGGATCATTTTCAGAAATAATCCTTAGTAGCTACCTCATTAGAATCAAAGGGACCACCATTCTTTTTTTTCCTCTTCAAGCATATAACTAGAGTATTTTAAAAACAACACAAAACACTTTTCTCTGTTTTTCTACCCCCGTATCAAATTAGTCACAAAGGCCAACAAGTTCTTCTTATAAACTGTTTCCAGAATTATTCAGTCTTCCATATTTCCACTGCTTCTAGTTTTCTCAAAGGCCGTAACACTTTACTTTTAGACCATATTAGCCCACCAGCCTAAAATTTCCCCTAACTTCACCCATAAGTCTAAAAGTTGAACAGATAGTTCAACTGTATTCATATTAAAAACATACCCACACCCCTACCCCCTCCCCCAACTTTGGCTTTTCTATTAGCATATATCACTGCCAAAAAGCTTTCTCTTTGGGCCACTAAAATCCTTATATCAGATAAAAACAAAAATAATGGATGAAGCATGAATTATATCTATTTGCTACAGGAACTTTTTTACTTAAGAACTACTGATAAAGAGCACAAAATGGTTTTATTTGTCATGGCATATTACTTACATATTTAATAATGAATTCTTATATGTGAAAATCATGTTCTAATAGGTCAAGCCCTCTGCATAAATAATTCACTTCTATTAAAAAAAATTCCATTGCTTTGCTATTTCCATTTTAAAATGTCATAAAAAGTCACATTGATTCGCTATAAATTTGAGATAATTTTACTGAACCAGAGCATTTTTCAGGGACAAGTAAATCCTTCTAAAAATTTGTGTTTGTTTTTGGTGGGGCTTGTAGAATTTTAATTCAAATCTCAAACACTGTCATTTCACCAATATTTTAATATGTTAACTGAACATTAAATGTGAATAATATATGATTCAATAGGAAATTAGATCTTAACCATTCCTTAAAACCAGGTAATTTTAGCTGCAGACAAATCTTAAATTAATCATGTAAGAAAGCAACCTTTCTTAAGCAGCTGTCAGCAAAAGAGCAAGGGCCATGATGAATGCGTGCTAAATTGTAGATGTATTCAATTTTATCCCAAGCTGCTGATAGGTAGGAGTATTTAGAAGCTTAAAATGAAATGTTAGGACTTGAACTCCTTAGTTAGTTGTCTTCTTCCCCATCCCTAAATTCTAAGTTAATGAGATTTCTCTAGTCAGTGATTTAGCCATGAAAATACGTCTTCAGCATTACTTTTTTCTTTGTAACTAAATGATCAATGTTTAACCAAACAACAAAAATTAATTTCACCTCTAATATCAAGACAGAATTGGCAAAGATGGGTTTCACCAGGTTTCAAAGGTGTGTCTCCAAATTTTTAGCTGATACAATGGATAAAGTACATCTGAATTATTAAGTTAATATCAACTAGGAGATGACTAATGCATTTAAGAAATTTTAAAGCCACAGTTATCCTTCACCTTAAGTGAGTCATTTTGACAAACAAATTGTTCTTCATCCCTTAAGTCATTTAAAAGTATGTTATTTTAAACTACTTACTTGGCAAAATATGTATTTTAAACATAGCAACTACTTGGCAACTATATTACAGAACAGAAATAATTAAATAATCAAGCAAATAATAACATCAAATACTTAGAAAATAAAGCTAGAAATTTATAACACGTTTAACAACCCTAAATGTATAGTAATTGATTTCAATTTTTGAATTTGAACATTTGAACACTGAATAAACCTTTCATGGTTTATTTTATATAGAAACCCTAATTCCAAATATTTAGCTATACACACTATATACAGAATTACTTTAATAAATATAAATGTTTTTCATTATAATTCAGAAGATCTATTATTTAAAAGTCTCATAATTCTAGTAAATATCACCTTATAGCTATGTATCTCTTTCTGCTTAGAAAGTATTTTCCCTAATATTTTTACTAAATTCTGGTACTAACCCCAAAAGAATCTGGGGTTCAGAGGGAACTTGTTTAAGGTTACACAGTTGTAAGTGGCAGACTTGGACTCAGCTAAAATACTATCTCGGTAAAATTATGCATCTAGTATTTTTGAATAAATGAGTAAGTGCAAAAGTGAACATAATTCTAAACCAACAGGATGTTTATGTAAAAGCACTTAATTTTTCTATTAAAATGTTTACATTTTTATTCCATCCCATAATTTGTTCTTTTGCTATTAAATAACTAAATCATTCCTTCTAGTTCAACAAATACTTGATGAAGCAAAACTAATGTAATTCTAGATGTACCTTACTCTTGGCCACAATACATTTGATACCACTGTTCAATTCCTAAAAAATTTACAATTACTTTTACTGTATTCATCCTTCAAAACAAACTCAAATGCCACCTGCTCTAAGAAGTCTTCAGTCAATCACTTATAAGAATAGTGTCTGTGCTAAATGTTCTGATAATCCTCTGTTCATTCCCCTACTGCAGAACTAACCATCTTGTTTTAGAATAACCCATTTCTCTGTATTTCCCACTATACTGTGTGCTTCTTGAGAGTCAGGACTATATGTCTGATCACTAGAACCCTAATGTCTAATACATAACTGGCAATCAACAAATAGTAATCAATCGATCATTGTGCTGAGATTGATTAAGTTTCAAAAACAGGACAGAGTCCTAAAACAATTATATCTACCACACTGAAGTAATACCTTCAATACATTATATAATATTAGAAGAAATAGATAATACTATCTAGACCCATGAGTTTGACACAGCACTCATTTAAGTATACACACCTAAACTTCCAGATTGCTGTTTTATTTCCTTTCTCCTGGTAATATTAAACTCTTCCTACTCAGTTAACCCATCTCTACACTAGTCTGCCATAAAAACATAAAAGAACAAAGACAGGAAATAATTTCAAAATACAGTGCGAAACATACAACTGTGCCAAAATTAAAAGCTTATGAAAATCAAAACCCACAAAAGACAAGTAGATTAATATTTATGTATCACCTAAAATTTAAAAATACTTCAGTCACTAAGTAGTTCATGCTAACTTACTTAACATAATACAAACAATGCTAATGATAGCGCTTACTAAAGGAAATCTGAGAAACAAGTTTAAAATATATGTAGTATACATATAAATGATAAAACAATTCATTAGGGAATAGCATTTAAATCTGATATTAATAGACAAGAAGTATATTTACTTTAAGGCTAAAATAAGTCTTCTAATTGTAAAAATATTTTGAAGAATCCAAAGAATCACTCAAAACTATGGAGCTTTTAATGCATTTGAGATTATCCACTATATATTAAAAACCATTAATTTATACAACAGGTATGTGCCTCCAGTTAAAATGAAACATAAACATAGTAATAATAAAGAATTAAAAAACTGAAAGAATATATTCAAATTTGAAAATACTAATGACAAGCCTTTGTTACTATAGACTATAGGTTATTGCTAACCTACCATCAAAATATTTTTATGATTGAATTATTAACCAAATCACCGGAGACCCTAAAATTCTGATCACTAATCTTGATTAAGTTATTTGTTACTCTTAGGCCCTTATTACATGCTCTGCATAATTAATAATGCATACAATTGTATCTTCCAAATCAGATTATAGGCTTCTTGAAGAAAGGACTCTAGCCATTGATTTGTATCTATTACATTGTCTTCAACAGAGCAAATACTTAATAAATATGTGATAAACAGTCACACTAATGCTGTAAGCTAGAATTCATGCTTATGGAGAAACAATTAGTGCTACATATTGTCATATGTTTTTAATGTTCTATATCCCTTAAAATGTTCTGAACTATTGAGCCATAGAGCTATGATTATTATATCCTTTTAAAATTTTCATCATGTTCAGTGATGATGAAATTCAGTGTTTAAGGTTTGTAACCTTAAAAACATCATGTCTGGCTATGTATAAGCTTATACTTTTTCAAGCATAAAGTAAGTATAAAAAAAAAGATGTGCCACAGTTTCCTAAAAATGACCTATTGAGTATATGTCAGTCAGGTAGTAACAAATATTTATGAATACCTATCATGTTTTAGGCAAAGAGCTCAGATAGAGAAATACTTAACTCTCAAAACTCTTACAGTCTAATGTAGAAGATTAACATTAAACATGCAACTGATAAGTTCAATGATCACAAGTATGGAAAGCAATGCAAAAAAGCCACACAAAACTACAATTAAGTATAATAGAGGAATTCACCCAGTCAGAACACAAAGAAGTATCTACACAGGTTAAAAAAAATTCTACTTAGCTCCCTGAAGACAGGATCAATATCTTATTGATATCTTATTGATCTTTGAACCCCAAATCCTGGGATTGACAAAGTCAATAATCTGTTCAGTCAACAAATATTTACTGAATAACTATAATGTGTTAAGGCTAGGTTCTCAGTAAAGTGCTGGAAATAGAGCAGTAAGCAAGAAAGGAGCAATTTCTGTTGTGAATCCTATGGAAAAAAAATCAATAAATGTTTGCTGAAATGTATATATAAAATTGTTTCATTAGGGTTTTAATTTATTGGCTTTTAGTTTTCTTTTGGGGAAGCTGTCAAGCAAGATTACCACAGTCACCTCCATAAGAATACATGACAGTGATGGGAGCTACTTGGATTTTTAGTTTAATGTCTTAGCAGTATAAAGAATAGATATTAATATCTGTTATTAATTGAGCGTAGTCCAACTATAATTAACTATGTTTTAAAGTATAACTTCAAAAAGTACTGAGTAAACTACAGTCTATATATGCTTATGTTTAAAATATAACATGAAAATAAGTGAGATAAAAATATTTCTTAAGACAGATGGTACTATTTAAAAAATCTAAATGAGATCTCTCTCTCCCTACTCTTTTGTATCTGATTTTTAAGGTAAGTTGTGAATGGGCAAATTTTGCATCCAGTGCTATCCTTATTCACTCGTAATTCAGTAACGTGATATGCACTAAAAGTATGACAAATAAATCAAAAGAATATGAAAAACATATATGACAACAGATCCAAGCTTCTCAGTATACTTGAGAAAGTATACTGACATTAAATGAAATTAAGTGAGGGTATTAAAACATCACTTATTTACGTTAAAAAAATTTTTAAGGACAGAATTAAAAGGGATAGGCTAAAATAAGTATCTAGACCATGAAAAGTAACAGTCCTATAGTTAGCATTGGTTAAGTCCCACAGAAAGGTAGTAAAACAACATTCTTAGAAAAAAACCAGAGACTCTAGACCCAAACTGCCTAAGTTTAAATTCCAGCTCCACCATTTACTAAGTAACCTTAAAAAAAGCTACTTGACCTTTCTATACTTCAATTCTCTCATCTGGAAAATTGAGCTAACAATAATATAAAAATCAATATAGAGTTGTTATATAAGGATTAAATGATTTAGCATTTGTAAGGATCTTAAAACAGTGCTTACTAATGTGCTGGTTCTATAAAAGTAATAGCTAACATTACTATTAGATTATTAGGTTCAATTCAGGGTAATATACTTAAATATATTTCAAGACAGGCAAACCAGAATATTATTTAAAGAAATAGTTTTTGATCTTAGGTCACCAATCCTCTGAAAACTGTAGATCTTTTCCCCAGAAAAAAATTATACAATTATTTTCAAGTGTTTTGTAGATCTCCTGACAGCCAGCAATGATTCAAAGGTTTTGGATAACACAGGTTAAAAATTCCTAATTTAGAGGAAGGCAAAAAAGAGGGTTTGAGAAAATGAGGTCTAGAAACTCTAATATTGAGAACAGTTAAAGGTATATGGGAGTATATGGCTTTGAAATATTTAGAACATGACAACCGCCCTCAAGTTAAACTTAAAGCATGGCCTCAATAAAGAAGCAGTACAGTTGACACTTGAACAACACGGATTTGAAATGCACGAGTCCACTTATACTTGGATTTTTTCCAATAAATACATACTATAATACTACACAAGCCATGGCTGGCTGAATCTGTGGATATGAAACTGTGGATATGAAGGGCCAACTGCAAAATTATACATGGATTTTCAACTACGTGAAGGTCTGTGCCCCTAGCCCCTACATTGTTGAAGGTTCAACTGTACTCACGTTTTACTACTCCAAATTACTGAACAAAGCACAGGTTTCAGGAAGGCAGACCGATATTCAGAATAAGGAAGAATAGAGTCTAAATACCCAAAGATTTCAGTATTACAAGAAAGAGGACGAACCAGGTCAACTCTAATGATCCCACATAAAACTCATTCAAGTTACCAACAGTAGAGAACTACTGTTGGGTACTAGTGACAGAAGTGAATAAAAGCAAACAGACATCCCTGCCCTCATGATTCTAAGACTGGTTGGCAGAAAGAGCATAGTCATGAATTTGGAAAAACATATTTCACAAAGTAGCAAACATTTCTACCAGCCTACTTCAAAATCTCTTATCAGTTAGAGAATATGCTATACCTTTAAAAATATTAGTTTTTAGGGCACTGAAACACAGCTGCGGCTTCACTATTTGGTGCTGAGCAATTTAGAGGGTTTTTTTCTTTTTCTTTTTCTTCTTTAAAACAAACTTAATGTTCCACATGATTAATGTGAACCTGGAGTTGTTGAGAAAAAAACAAACCTGGTGGTCTCCAACTAACCTAAGGCTTTAGTGATAGATTTGAAATTCACCAAGTAGTTACTTGACTCACCATAGAAAAAGAGAACTCAACCATACTACTCTTGTAGGGGGTGGAAATTAGTTAAGCAACAGAAGAATAACTAAGGAATAAGAATTAGAAAAAGGACTTAAAAATTCAAACTTCATAAACATTTATATTCAGAAGTAACTTAAAGACTTTCTTCTATGAGGTATAACCCCATCCCTGCAAATAACTACTTTCATCGCATATTTTTTTAAATGTTTCACGAAGACTGCTATACCCTTACACATTTATTTATAGACATGTTTTCATATCCTGCTCTCACTAGACACAAAAACAAAAACAAAGCAAAGCAGAATAAAACAAAACAAAAAAAGACTTTGAAAATGTAAGGTCAAATGTGAAAGTGATGGCTAGCAGAAGAAAATGTGTTACACAATTACATAGTATGGCAAATCTCTGCTCTGCAAATATAATCTTGATTTAATTTTTGGAACTGCCCATTTCAGCTTAGTATTCTAATTATATGAAGACAACAGGAAAAGAAAGGCAAATAGTATGGAGATGTTTAATAATAGAGTGTTTAAAAAACTTTGTGACATAATGCTTAACCAAATAATTATTAAGATAATGGGTTTTGAGAAAACGTCTCTTAAAATAAAAGGAATACCTTAAAGCTACATATTTCTAATTATTTAAGGCTGAATTTGTTTTATGAAGATCTACTTGGTAGGCTTGGAAAAATCTAAAGTATCTTAAATTTTAGTACAATTTTCCAGGAAAACATTGCATGTTTATATACTATGTAGAAAATAAACAGACAGTTTTAAATGCCCCGGAAGTGTCAAATAGTACTAGCTTTAAGAAAATCTAAAGACATGCTATTTAAACTACATGTCCCATAGGTAACCTCAGCCATAGTCTAATCAGGTTCTTAAATAACGTCACATAATTACCTGTGTTTATTTCCTCTGCAATTTCCAAATCTTCTATTTGAATCATATGATCTAACATCTCTATAAAATGGTCTCTTATTTCTTCAGCTGACTCATCGCCAAATTTATAATCACATAACATTACAGTAGATCCCGGAATGGGGACAAAAACTCGGTGAGGGAGGATGTGGAACTCTTTTTCAGAATCTAAAGGAGAAGGAACAATATCAATATTTAGATAGGCCTGTCACTGGTATCAGTGAGATGTATTTTATAAGTATATGAAAGCATAAACTAAAAGAAATAAAACCTAAAAGATCTTTTCATTTTTTAATTCTTCTGGCACAAAATTGCTTATTGAATTCTTTACCTCAACACCTGAGGCCTCTGCAAGGGACCTAAATGATACTCCCATGAAATATAAACTCACCACTGCCTTCAGTGTGAAGATGTTGTTAATTAGACATTCTTATATTATCCACTGTCCTATGAAGGAACACCTGGGAGATAATTTTGCCCCTGGTCTCAGAAACTGTTTTTCTTGTTTGTTTTAACCTTAGAAGTACTGAATTTTATGAACAGCTTTTCCCTTCTTCATGTAAGTTTAGAGCTAAATTAGTGGCTCACCTACATCAAGTTATAGGACACGATAGCATTCATTTCTGCACTAATCTCACCACTGATTTCATTTTAAGTGATGTAGCTCCCTATATCAAGCATATGTAGGATATCAAGATACATGTTTTCTGTACTAATCTCATTACCATCTCCGTCTTGCTTTCTTTCTCATTTTCCCTTTGCCTCACTCTCATTATTAACACTAATTTTATCTTGTTAACTTGTAATACCTTTTTGTAAATAGCCTTAAATCATTTTCTACATAAATAATGAATAACTATTTCATCCTTCTTTCCTCATATTTCCCTCAATTTCTAACATAGTCACTGGTCCACATAAACACATAATTATTGTTTGGCTCAACACCATGACTCAAATGACGTATCAACAAAGATAGTGATTTTATGTAAAGAATAACTTCTTTCAGCAATGGATATGATTTAAAAAGCTACCACAATGTACAAAGATCAAGCAGAAAACTAGGGTTCACGTTAACAGTAATCTAAATTTCCCTATCAAGAAACAAGAGGTAGTTTTATATAACTACAAACAGACAATGATGAAGAATGCCTTACATGTCACAGAAAATGCCATGACTTAAGCAGAATCTGGCAGGAACGCATAATTTACAATATTGCTTTCATGTAAGAACTGGGGGAATTTTACTCTTTGACCAGACTGCCTCCTAGTTGTAAAATTGTATTACTGCAATTTGTACTGTAGTGTGTTAACTGACCACACACTGATTTTAGGAATATACTATTTTATTTTGGGTCACTGTTTCTTGAAACACGTTAAGTTTAAAACTTTCAAAGGTGGCTATAATGTATATGTGTAACAGGCATGCAAAATTTTAAAACTATTTCAAACTGCATTAATTTTAGGTTTGCCAGAAAAGAGACAAATTGCTTGCTATAAAATCGAATCTTAAAGAATTGGTTGCAATAATCTTAAACTACTCATTAAAGAAGAAAAGCACTTAAAAGTTAAATTTACCATTTAGTATCTAAATAAGACCAAGTTTTCTCATTGGTCTGAGGTTTAAAATGGGAGGGAGATCATTCAAAAAAAATACATCTCTCTTAGGCATATTCCCACAGCAGGGTATTTAATTCAACCTGTTTAAAACTGAGAAAAAATTTTAAATTTAGGCCAATACGTTAAGAATTGAGTTCTAGCTGGTTAAGTAGAGAATCCCAACTCACACTGGAGTATTACAGAAAATTGTGTAGAATAGGTGATACCTGAGCTGACTTAGAGGATAAACAGGCATATACATGAAGGGATGAGAAGTGCCATCCAGAGAGTGGAATCATGACTACAGGCAAAGAGGAATACAAATATTCTGAAAGGACAGGTAGTATGGATGGATGTGGACACAGGGATGGAAGAAAGTAAAAGAGATTTCACAATTGATGATCTTAATTTTCACAATGAGTATGTCATTATTGAGTGTAAGCTGGGCAGGACCTAAAGCAGGCTGACAGAGAATAATGAAGAGGGTCTGGAATAGATATAGGAAAGAGAAGGGGAAGACAGCGGTAAGTGAAAAGAGTGACTGAAATTCTTATATTTTTTTCCTGTCATTGAAGTATTAAGTTCTTTAATCTGGAAAGCCAAAATTCAAAAACTATGTTTAAAGAGTAGGAATGTAAAGTTAATATGCCCTTTGCAGACTTTCCCATGCATGCAAAAAATATCCTAGTACAGGTTAAGTTCATGGCATGCAAGATCTTACCAGTATGTAAAAAAGATAAGCTAAGCACAATGAGGAGTAAATCTAAGATTTAACAATTTAGGGTGTGTATGTGTGTGTATACACACACACACGCATACATATATATATTCAACTTAGAAATTTACATGGTTGTATTATTATACTTGCAATATATTTTGAAATTTCAGTATCTTAAGATCTACTAACATGTTGCTGGACTAATACCATTACTAAACTTTTTTAAATACATATTTACACTTGGTTTCTTTTTGAAATAAAGGGCTATATTTCACAAAAATTAAAGTTAAAAAAGTTAAAGGCAGCCAGCATTAAGTAATTCTCTTCCTTCATGACCCCCAACATAATAGCAACTACCACCTAATGAGAACTTGGCTTACCAACTTGTATTAGGGGCTTTAAAAATATCATCTTATTTAATCTCACAGCCTCAAAAAGTAGCTACTATAATCCTGGTTTTTCATATAAGACAATGGATGCTTAGACAGGCTGAATCATTTGCCTGAAGTCACTCCATTAGTGGTAAAGTAGACACAGAACCCAAGAACTTCAGTCTTAGTTCTTTCCACAAACTACACTGCCTATTCTCTCTTCCCATGGCCTCAAAGGCCACTCCATTACCAGTGAAAACATTTTTTCATTTTGTAAAAAATATAAGATTAGATGATAACATTAACTTCCAATATATCAATATATATCCAAACTTAGTGTATAAATATCATAATTGCTATTACAAGTAATTAATTTTATTGATTGGACATCAGAAAAAATTTCAAAATACTAACTCTCTTAATATAAAATAATACTAAAGCATTTATTACCATTTTTATGAGGTATTTATAATGGAATAGAATATTTAACTGATGTATGTGATATGGTAGACCTTTGGCATTAATGGTGAATATATCCCCATGTCACTGAAAATCCTAAAATTTACAGTTCAGTTGTAACACATGCTGTTTCTAAAAAAGTGAAGTAATGTTTAATACCATAAGAGTTATCACACAAACAAAGTCAAGTAGCAAAAATAAAGCCCCAGAGATAAGACTACTAGGCTAACTGGGTGGCTAAGTGAGCGGGTTTTACGTATTTCCCAATACAAAAATCTCAACCCAATCGTTGCATGTAAGATTCAAATTCATGTCTCAGCATAACTACACGTTATTAGTGGATGGAACTTTAAGGTTATTTGTGAAGTACATGAAGGACAAATGTTAAATCTGGAATTGCAGTTACCAACATACTAGGAATATAAAAAAGATTATAATCAGTCCACCAAACCTGATATACTGGCTATTAACTAAAAGAAGTTAGTTATATAGAAAAGCTATGCTTTTTTTCTATAAAAATAAACATATTCCGTTAACAAGCTAATATGTATGTTTCAATTACATACATATTCAACTGTGAACTGAAAAATCCATTCACACTTGAATAGTAGAAAGGCAGAGATACATTTGTGTAGCTTCAAAAAATATACTCAATATTATAATTTTCTTTTTGAGTAATAAAGATTTTTAATACAAATTACTGAAAAGGTATAAATTATTTATATTTCTCAAAAGATGGAATAGTTATAAAAGGTTAAGACACCATGATCTAGGCTTTTTAAAATGTAATAAAGTCTGTTAGAGTAATAGATGAGGAGTATATAAACTAGTACACACACACAAAAAATTTTTGGAAAGAATAAGAGAGATCAATTGAATAATTACTCAATTATTTTGATTATGAATAAATTCTTTAAAAAAACTTCACGGATATCAATTTTAAAAATAACAGCTGTAAAATGACAACACAGTTTATCCATTCTGGTAAAAATTCACACAAAATTCTTATTTTTTAATTCTCCCTGATATTAAATGTTGACAGTTTGCTATTATAAGGTGTTTAAAACCCCTTTTTTAAGGTGGCAACTGAAAATTTTCCTTCTATAAGAAAAGTAAATAATGACATTGTTATAAAAAATAGATATACGTGGTTAAAAAGATATTATCTATTATATTTTGACATCCTAATAGATCAATTGAACACAAGCAAAAAAGAACTTAATTTTATACTCATAACTTTTTTTTCTGGAATTTCATTCAAAAGTAGATCCTCAAATAATATTTCACAACGATCGGCAACTGTATTCAATATATCTCTTTTAATTGCCTATGGAAAAACAAAACAAACCACAATTAAAAAATCCACTAATTTAAATTTGGATTATTTTATTACCAACCCCCTCCCTAAATAATTGGCTTCCCTGTATGATCATGTCCACTAAAATAACTAGTACATCATTTCATTTTTTAGTGTCCATTTATTTAACATGCTTATCAATACATTTATAGTTTAACAGCAAATTTACCTAGACTTTATTTAAATAGTAAATTTAAACCAAATAAATGAAAGAAATTTTGTATCTGAATAAATAATTCTAGTGCTCCAAATTAGAAAATGTGTAACTATGACAAAAGTGCCAGTAATCATTTTTAAAATTTCTGGGTTATATAAATTATACAAAGAACACTACCTAATAATTCTTCCTATGAATACTTTCCTGTTATTTAAAAAGTTCGATTTCCCTCAGAAGAAATGGTTTCAAATATAGTAATAATACGTCACAATTGTGAAGCACTTAATAAGCTTGTATAATCATCACTCTAAAAAAGGTATAAAATAGATATTCTACATATGAAAATCTTGGAACCAATTACCTCCTGGTATATTTGGACTGCCCAACAGATTGGAACTTTATCAGTTACAAACAAATTAATAATCATGAAATCTGAGATTGAAAAAAGATAAAATTTTTGAATTTTTGAATAATTATGTTAACATGTTTGTCTTTTTCATATACCAGCTACCCCTTTTGTACCTGCACAGCATCTTTAACCTTGGGTTTATTGCTATGAATATAAGCTCTGCATTTCACAGCACCCTTAAGGTTTACGGAGCCACTGCAGACCTGGACTGTGGCTGTGGATCTATGGTCTGAACTCAGAAGCTGAAAGACAAGATCTGTTTAAGTTCTAATAGCCAATGATTATTAACTATATTAAAACATTTAAACATTATATAGGCCATTTCATGAAGCAAGAAGGAATTTTTAACAGTGCCAAGTGCTTGAAAATATTCTCCATACATTTTTAAAAGGCTTCATATTTCTTCTTATAAGTTATGTATTATTTTCTGAGTATTCTGAATGTTCTCTGAAACTAAACACACCACATCTAAATTTTTTCTTAACATAACATAACCATACAAAGTACCAATATTTATTCAATATGTTCACTAAACATATTATTTGCAGATTACTCAGACAAGTACTGTCAAGATGAAAAGATATATAAAAGAAGACATGATCTAGTAAGAAACAGAAGGTATGCAATACAAGATTTGCACAACAAGATTTGGACTATAAAGCAGGATATGAAAAATGTGATAAAATTACAAGCAACATATGGACATTCATTTATTTATACACTTTCAACTTGTAACTTCCACGGACTGAAAATAATGTTACATGCTCCACAGCAGAAAAAAAAGCAAGTCAACTATGCCTGTCACCAGAAAATGATATCAGTGATTCATTTTCATCTCACAGACTCACTCTTATTTAATCTAAAGTTGGTTAGTTCATGCTTGGTTTTGAGCTGTTTCACAGACATTTTTAACCTTATCATTTCAATAAATGCCAAAACGAGGAGAGCTTTGAAACTGAAAATACTACTAGAGGGCTATAAAATCACAATGGAAATAAAAATCATGATTTAAAAAAATGGACGTGGTAAAAATATATGCTCTAAGTACACCTGAAATAAATCATTCAACAATAGGGTCAATTCTGAAAAACAAAAACAAGTCACGCAATTTATGACCATTGCTAACTAACCATGTGACTATGTGATAAAAACCAAACAGGAATTGATGAGGACAAATGGTGAAGAAATCAAAAGGCTTGAGTATGTAGCCATTGAAAGAGCATGAGTAGTCAATGTCTAATGTAATTCAGGCAAAGGCTGGATTTTTTTTTTTAAGAATTTAATCTTAAACATTGTCAAGGTTTTGTCAGGAAAAAAAAAAAACTTGTCACAGACCAAGTATTCAAAAGGTTCCAAGTTCGTTTAAAAATGTCTATTATCAAATCAAGCAGCAGGATGATGCTGACGTTATTAGGAATAAGCTTCCTAAGACACTTGTAGAAATCACTGATGTATCAATAAGGTGAGAGTGGAGGAGGAATAATGGGCTTCCCTCATCCACTATATAGAATTTTACTGTAGATGAAGCAATTCTGTTTTGGAAAATAATGCCCTATTTTATATATTTAATATATAATTTACAATACATAATATATAATGTACAACACATTTATAGTATGTATATTATATATGTATAAATTAGAACATCATTTTCCAAAATAAACTAGACTATATATAAAAGACTATACACACACATCAAGGAGAAGAGTTTTTAAAGGATAAAAAGACTGATTTACTCCTTTTTGGTAGAAATGTATCTGGGTTCAACAAATTTCAACTTGTCTTAAGTTTTTTTTGAGTTAGGAACAAAGTAGCTTAACGACTTTGGGAATATAACCTATTCATAAGTGAAGTGACTTTTGTGATATTGCTATGATATTTTGGAAAATAGAAGATCCCTGTGGTTATGGTGACTAAATAAAACCTTACAGAAGTAGTAAAATTTGGGCAGATTTTAATGTGCAGATAAGAGTTTGACAGGATGATAGAAAAAAAAATGGCACTGGTAAGACAGATGGCTCAGGAAATACAGAGAATTTTAAAGGCATAGAAAGCATACCTCTAGAATAGTAAGTTAGAAAACAATGAAAAGGAGGGTGAATATAGCTCAGTGGTAGAGTGCATGCTTAGCTTGCACTAGGTCCTGGGTTCAAGCCCCGGTACCTCCATTTAAAAAAGAAAGAATGGAAAGACATGCTGAGGCTATGAAGAGCCTCGAATTAGACTTTTCTAACTAGTCAATATAGATCAATTAAGAAATTTTAAGCAAGGAGAGTAACACAATCAGTAACTGACCCTTATATATACTCAATAAATACTAACTGAAAAAAACTAGTAAATAAATGAGCAGTGTATGAATGCAAACTGTGATTCAGAAAGGATAATCTGAGGTTACATGCTGGATAGACCAGAAATATGAAAGATATTCCAAGAGATATACAAAGGTATGAGGATTTTGGAGAATGAATCATTTTGGTTAAAAATAAACAGATGGAGAGACCAGTTAAGAGTTACTTGTGATAACCCAGGTAAAATAGTTATATTGTAAGGCTAATAACACTGAGACTATAAGGAAAATAAAAGATGAGCTATTCTGCAAAGAAAGAATCAGCAAGACTTGCTGGAGGGTGAATGGGAGGAAAGTGGCATCAAGTACTGACTGACTACTTATTATATACTGGTCATTTTAAAGTTTCCAGCTGGCTGACAAGTGGAATGATTGACAAAAATATATTGTAACATGTAATATTAAATATTATAATAATAAATCATCTCATGATATTATCTTCTACTCTTCTCTATATTCCCAAACTCTACACATCTTCTAACTGCAATTTTATAACTAATTAATTTTAACCGAATTATTTAATAAACCAAGAGGTCACATAAGTGTAACTAGTAAAAAGCATATAGGTAGAGGAATAGCCTTAAAACAAAGAGCAAGTCTAAAATTGAAAAGAAGGAAGAAAACTAAAGACTAAAAATCCTTTTAAGGTACTGAGAAGAGAAACTGAGAAATGTTTAGTGGCAAAAGTCCAGTAACAATTTAGTAATGCTCTTATTGCTAAACACAGAGAAGGAAAAGAACAAATTAAAGCATCCTTATATAACAAATCACTTTTAAGTCTATTTTATTCAGTTAAAAAAAAATACAAGTCCTGGTAGTATTTCTCTGTTTCAACATTTCCAGTATAATACTGAAATAGAAAGTTTTCTAAAAACAAGAATGTACTTTATACCCAACCTGGTCTCCAGGATAATTTCAAGCAGGATTAAAATAAAAAGTATGCATACTTTTAGGAATAATTACCCAACTTCAAATTTTGGAAAAGAGATATGTAATTTAAAACAATCATATGAAAATATAAAACTCGCTAATACTGCATGATTTTTATCAAATCAGAAGTATAAATCTACTTCAAATTAAGTATAAAACAACTCTTGGCATATATGTATACATATCTTTTATTTTTAAGCTAAGAATTGCAACATTGCTCCTAAAAATTACAACCTCAAATATCACACACACACATGCATACACACGTGTATATATATATATGTATATATATATTTAATTGTTGTCTATTTAATGTTAAAATTTTAATAGCCTTGAGACAAAAGATACAAATAGATTTTATTAAAATAATGTTTCTTGAGAATAACTTTCTTAGAGCTAAACATTTTTTATAGTCCTTTAAATCTCTAAAATTCTTTGACTCTATAATCATAAACATAAAACCAATTTCAGTAAGATTATTCCAAAAAATACTGTATTTTAGAAAAGTAGTATTTTAAAATATTTACCAACTGTGTTAGCACTCTGACATTCAAAGAATGATTAGTTGCTTGAGCATTTCCTCTAGAAGATTTTTTCTGAAATAACACAAAAATTAAAAAACTATATTGTTGAGATTGAACTGGACCATAAAAGACAATTTAGGAATATGCAACATTTACTAAGTAACTTAGAGAGGGGAAAAAAGTCTTATTATTTGTTTTATCTTAGTTTTTTCTATAGATATGTTACTTTGTGCATTTTGTATCAATCAATGTGTACTCTTAAAATCCATTAATTTCCTACTTCTATTCCTCTAAAGCAAGGATTGGCAAACTATGGCTACAGGTCAAATCCAGACTACTACCATTCTTTGTAAATGAAGTCTGGCTGGAACAACAAACTTGAAAACAGCAGAGCTGAATAGTTGCAACAGAGAGGCCCACAAAGTTTAAAATATGTACTATTTGTTTTTTTACACAAAGTTCATTAACCCCTGCTCTGAAAGGACAGATCACCAAAGCTCCTCTTCAGATCAAAGATCCTTTATAAGACCATACAAACCCCTCCTATAAAATGACTAAACTTAGTCTTCAAACTATTATCAGGGCAGAACATACCACTTCAGTTTTTTTGTTTTTCTTTTTCATGTTTGCCCTGACTTCATTTTTTTGTATCAATACAACTTCATTTTTTTAAATTAAAAGAATTTTTATTAAAGTACAGTTGTTTTACAATGTTGTGTTAGTTTCAGGTGTACAGCAAAGTGATTCAGTTATACACATATATACATACATATAAATTCCTTTTCATATTCTTTTCCATTACAGGTTATTACAAGATAATGAATATAGTTCCCTGTGCTATACAGTAGGTCCTTGCTGTTTATCTGTCTTATTTTAAAATTTTTTCTTAACACCTTTATTGTGGTACCTATCACTTTAATTTTAAGTAAGTAGTTTACAATGTAGAAATTAGATGGAATTTAGATGACATTCTTCCCTTCAGGTTTCTAAATTCCTATTATTTCAGAAATAATCTATCATTTTCTGAGAAAAACATTTGCCATTGAGTTTAAGTCATTCTTTATTCTTCCTTAAGCACAAATACCATAAGTAGGATGATTTCATCTGAACTCACCTGTCCTTCTAATAGTTCACCATCTTCATCTTTAACTTGTCCATTAATCAAATAAACACCATTTTCTATTTGCTTGGCCCAGCGTGCAAGTCCATTCTTAAAAGAAACACAACATGGGTATCTTTTAGATATAATGCCATCTCAGTTAATCTCCCTCAAGTCTACTTTTTTCCACTGAAACATTGAAATATTAAAAATCCCTAAGTATCAGTAACATGGAGTTTAAATTCAGTATCATAAACAACAAAAAAGCGTATCTCCAATTTTTGGTACCTTACTCATATTTAATAATAGTTTTTCTAATCTTTATCCCAAACTAACATTTATATCACATACTTAGGAGGCTTAATTACCACAGCCAAAAAAATTCAATAATTTCCATTATCTTAAAAAAAAGTGAGAAAAGAGCCTCAAACAAATATATAAAGTAGTATTAAAGAGGAAAAAATAAGCAAGCTCCATTTAACTTCTTCATCAGCAAAAAAGAAGAGAGATGAGATATGAACAAAAGAATGGTACAGAAATACAAAAAAGAACTGGAAGATGGAAAACAAAACTAAAGACCAAGAAAAAGCAAAAAGACAAAACTATATCTTTTTACATAATTATATTTTACAATATACATAACTATATATTAATAAACAAATATTTATAGAACACTCATTATGCTAAATACATTAGTATGATGACTTTGTCCCCCCTCTAAATTTCTAATCTGGCTAGAGTAATAAATTGGTTACCCATAACAGTATTATTTTAATTAAAATGCAATTTTTGAGGATTATAAAATGAATGGCATAGACAATCAGAATAAAGGCAGATTATCTATTCTGCAATTAAAGAAAACTCATTTTAACCTGATACCTTTGTATTTTTCTCCAGAGTATAGGTGACTGAGGTAGTAGAGAGTGGGATGTGAATATTAATATAAACTGTACACTCTAAAGAAAGCCAAGAAGCTGACAGTCCATTTTGATACTTCCAGTCTGCTGGTTTTGCAGAACTCTTTAGCAAAGGGGGAAAAACAAAACATGTGACTTAGATCAATAAAACATCATAAAATGTACAACCTAATTACTCATACAAGCTGTTATCTAAACATATTTGGCCAAATTCCTTCATTAAAGGGAAACAGGTTAGAACTAAAAAATAAAGCATACATTAAAAGTTCAGTATTCTACAGCACATCCCAGGCAATCTTGACAACTCCCTCCCCCAGCAAAAGGCTTATTTAAAATTCTGGCAAGTCCTCCGGTCCTCTAGTTCTCATTTGTAGCTTCAACCCAGTGACAATTCTGAAGCTTCTGATGTGGAATTAATAATCACTGAGTGACTACTAGGTGACAGACATCCTCCTTTCTGTCCCTTCCCTGCTACCAGAATCCTGCAGTTACTTCTTCACATTGCTCTTCAGACACTACCAAAATGTTAGTGTGGAGTCTGCTGAATACAGACAGCCTGTTTACTAGGCACTGTGGCTACCACAAGCCTAGACACTTTTACTACCAGCCTTTTAAATATAATACTAAACACATCAACAAGGTAGCAAGAGCTTAACAAAAAGTTTTAACTATAAAAAATATAAAATTTCCTTGCCTTCAGTGAAATTAATCATATTTCAAAATAAAAAACTACAGGTGGTTGTGGACATCAGCAGGAAATGATAGCAATGCAAATTATTAAAACTAAGAATTGAATTTTATTTAAAAATAGTTTGCAACACAGAAAAATCTTTTCTTACCTTTGGATCAAGGACATCATAAGTTCGACAAAATATTCTTTACTAATTAAGGATAGAAATAACAATAGCAAAAAAAAAGCAATTCTAGATAATATAAAAGACAATAAACCATCAAAAAATAAAAATGAAGTAAATGCATCCAAGAGTTTTTACAAAATCATACCACTTCATACACTCCAAGATATGTATACACGTATATCTGTGTTTCAACAAATATATATGTATATGAATTTCTCTGACTATAATACTACTAATACTTCTGGTATTCTAAACTACTTCCTGCTTATAAATCCTGCTAATCACAATGAATAGAATGAAACCTCTTAGAAAATTTTCCTCAAATACACACCCTCTACAACAAATAGGAGTGCTGTTTTGAATGGAGTCAAGCCTGGGAACATTTATTGGGTCAACGGGTCCATGCATGAAACTTTCTTAAGAAAGACCAAAGGAGTTAAAAGCCCAGCTTCTGCAGGAAAGATCAGGTTTTGAATTTGGTTTTTCCAAGTCCTAATTTATTGGATCCTTCCATTGCTTCACTCCCTTGGTGAGGCTGCCTTATGCTTGGGAGGTACTTGCTTGGCAACATATAGAGGAAAGAATCTCAGAAGACCCTATAACTGGCTTCTAGTGTCCCTTGTTGTTGGCCAAAGACATAAAAATTTCCTGGATGTCCTAAAACTGTCCAGCCCAGTACATCTGTGCTTTGAATTGAGCATTTATCTATAGGAACTGGAGGTGAGCAAATAAAAGCATTACTTTGCCTAAACTGTACCTCTCTGTAGGAGACCTATTATATTTCAACGTACAGGGGTAGACAGCTGGTAAAGAGTTCAGAATCCCCAGTCCTTGCTACCTCTCTCAAACTCTTACAACCCTTAGACATGATTAACAACCATTATTACTATTATTATTAGAAGTCCTAATTATGTGTTATTTACAGAAAAACTTACAAACTAAGTCTATTTTTTAAATGATGATTTACATAAATGGGGAAAAAACTTGCAAGGAACACTATTTTGTATCATATACTTTAGAACATAAACACCTGAATAAAAGATACTTCTTTGTAGAAGAGCAAACGTGAAGTGTCACTCGTTCTGAGACCTCCTCCTCTGTGAAATTCCACAGTCTCTTTTTATTCATGGATTTTTCCACAGCAAATACTAACTGAAAGAGAGGAATTACAGTAATTAAATGTAAAATAAAAGAAGAGAATGCAGAAAAAGACAATCATAATATCCCTAAGCTCCCATGTAGGTTCAAAATTTCATGATTCTATCATTAAATTTTCTTTTCTTCAAAAGAAAGAATGAAATTGATTTTTAGGGATATATAAAAAGTGGGTATTAAATAGAAAAACATAATTCACTAACATTATAATTAACTGGACATGATTTGGGGGCAACTGACATTTAAGTGAAGTATAGAATAAAGACTTTATTTTAATTAGAATGAGAAGTGACAAGTGATTTTTAACCTGCAAAAATACAGCATGTCACTCATTTGACATTTCTTATTTAAATGTCACCAAAAAATGTAAGGTAATATATACGGGCACATAAAATACAGTAAGAACGTAAATTATAAGAGAAAAAAATCAGAAATAGTGACATAAATTTATGCCACATGTAAGAATCATAAAAAATGCATACTTGATATGGGGATAGGGGTCATAAATTTGGCTCAAAGCTTTCTAAAAATAATGTGCACGGAGAAACCTAATCTGTTACCTAATTCACATGGCCTATAAGGTGAAAACAATTGATCAGAAGAGGCACAACTTTCTTCATAATAATATCAAAAGATAATTCTTCAAAGACAATATTATGTAATATAATGAACTAAGTTCTTAACAGTGACCTTATGGGAGAGTGACAAATTTTATAAGGTTATTTCATATAGTGTCCCTCAATGCGGGCCAGTGGAAACAAAGTTAGATAACTAAAACACTACAATTTGTGTTTAACTCTTATGTGCTTCTTAGAAACAAAAGAGATACAAAAAGCAAAAAGAAGGAGGACCTAACTCTCTCTCTCTAGCGCTGAGCCCACATTCACTCCATTCAATCCAGCACCAACCACAAAAAGATACACAGCCAAGCTATTTAATACACAGATATTTAGGTTACATTTGAAAATGCCAAAGAGGATGGACAATTGTGAAAGATGTGCATTTATTTGAAATGGTAAAAATGGCAGAAGGTTAAATAACTTCTCAGGGAAGGGATGAACACCATTTTCGTCCCTTATTCTCCTCGGTATTAATATCAAAGGTCTGAAGGTGGGATATTTGACAGGAGACGTGGTTACAAACTGGAAGAATCTGGAGCACCTGGATTCTTAGCTGTAAACTTTTCACTGGAAAAAGTTTTTTTGGGGATTCTGTGTGGTTTTGTACTTCTCAAGATTATGAGGTCCCGTTCTCTCTTGGGGTGAGAAGCAACTTTCTGAAGGCTAATTTGCATCTTGAATACTAAGAAAGATGAAAGTCTGCTGCACAGAGGTTGCTTTAGGTTTGGGCTTAGGGGGAAACAGCCTGGGGGCCCTCATACTTACTTCTAAACTATGTTACTCAACTGACTGATACAGGAATTAAACAAAAAGCAGGGCATTCATGATAGATACTCTGTCCAGGAATAAACAATAGTGTCTGACTGTTGTTACTTTATGTCCTGAGAGAAATGAAGAGGCAAAGAATTACAAAACCCACTAATTTCACATTATAGCAATCATTTGGGACTAAGTGGACGCTCTAGTAGAATACTGCTGTCGCACAAGAAAAATGCTAAACTTTTACAACGTTTCACAGTAGCAAAAAAATTATCTTTGAAAGTAAAGAATATTTTAAAATACGTAGCTTTGATTAAAAATATAAATACTGACATGTATTACACTCAAGAGATCAAGCAACTGGGAGGGAAAAGCTGTTTCAACATAATCCCAGAATAAAGCATTAATCTAAATATGCCTAGGATCACTGTTTACATGTATAATCAACTAAGATAAGATGCAACTGTAAAGTTTTTGGTATTTCAGACTTACTCTACGGAGGGTACTTTGAAATTCATTTCCCATTTCCAAAGTTGTAATAATAAATACTCCAAGAACTAAAAGTCCCCCTGGTAGCATTCTGGATACCTAAAATAGAAATATAGTATTAACTAATATAAGCATCTGACATTATATGCAATCCTCTCTGCCTGAGAAGTTAAATAATAAACCAGCAAATGCCCACCTAGTACCAACAATATGCATAGCATTGAGGTAGAGGCTTTGAAAAAATGGTTAAAATGTTGAGAAACAGATGATAACCAAGATGAATGGTGTCATTATGCACATAATCTTCCTAGTGTCCTTAACTTTTTACCTTAAAACTACTTTATAAGTAAAGTCATTTAATAATGATACCCTTCAGCTACATCAATAAATGAACTCCTTTCTCATAAGATCAAAGACTGAAATATCTCCTAAATTTTTCAATGACTTCCACTATCAGCTAAATAAAGCACAAATTTTATCTTAGACAGGTATTCCAGACTCTCTAAAGTCTGGCTGATCTGCTGTTCAGAGCCTTATCTGATACTACTTTTTATGAAATACTCAAGTATCAGTCAAAAACTCCTCACTGTTCTCCATACATATGGTGAGGCTTTCTAACTCTACACCGTCACTCAGGATGCTCCCTCAGCCTGAACTGACTTGCTCTCATATGTCTACACATCTGACCTCTACTGAATACCTCCGAGTCAGCTGGAGGGAGCTGCCTTCCCTGAACCTTTGATCTCTGAACTCCTACAGGACTTTAGTGTAGTTTTCACATGAACCTGTATTATGATTATTTGTGTACCTTCCTAGTTGATCTGGGAGCTCCTTAAGGGAAGAGGTTGATTCTCAGCTACCTTCGTATCCCTGTAATATTCAGCAGAGTCTGGGATTTGTACAGAGGAAGTGCAACTTGGAAATCCATTGTTTCCTATTGCTTAGGTTTATATCAATTTTTAAAATGTATTTATTGATATTAAGCATTTATAATATTTCCAATTTTTTTCTTTAGTCTAAAATAATATTGGTTAAAAATCCTAGCAAGTTTCTGTGTTCACAGGATTATCTGCTTAGGACAAATCTCTTGAGGTGGATAACTAGGTTAAAAAGTTACACATATTTTTAAGGTTTTTGATACATACTACCTGTTGTCCTTCATAGGAAATCTGTTATTTCCCTTCCATATGATGCGGCCAGTTTTACATGCCACATGGACTTCTTTCTACCATTTATACAAAGAGATCAGAGTGTTTTGGTTATCTTTTGTGCACTTACTGTATAAGCAAACTGATGACAAAGTCAAGTCTTCAGAAAATTATATACCATAGTCTAATCCTTAATATATTTGCTTTGTTTCTGCTGATGGTTCTCTCTGATTTCATAAGTTCTATTTACTCTAGTAATACAAGTTTGACATAAAGAATAATGTTTTCATATTTAGCATGAGGGACCTGTGTATCTTTTCAAAATCATCAACAAATAAAATTAACCATTTCTTTCTAGAGGCAAAAAGGTCATCTATTTTGCTACATAAATTTTATGTTTGTGTGTATATTTGCAAATAGATTAGACATAAATATAGATAAACAGATACAATTTTATAAAAGGCCAAAAACAAAATTAGAGTAGAAAGTTATTTGCATACCAATGGGAATTTAAAGTTAAAATAGTTAATATTGCAATAGAAGATAGTATTAAATATTTCTTGGATTATTTTTTAAATAACTATATACTGTCCCTCATCACAAACACAGATAAACACGTGTGTGTGTTTGAAGACTTAAAGTTAATTGGAGAAGGAAATAATTCTATTTTTACCTTACTCTAACATTCTTTACTGGATAATATAATCCATTCAATAACTACTTTTAAGTGAATTCACTCATCATTCCCTCCCACCCAGCCCCAAATCTCTTTATTCCTTGTGTAAAGGCAACACCATCTTCCTAGACACCCAGGAAGGAAAATCTCAGTAACCTTTAGCTACTCTCTAACAATCTCTCTTTACTTCCAATCCACTTGGTCACTAAATCATCTTGATATCAGCTCTTTCTCAGAAATGTTTTGGCAGTGAAGTTTCAGCCCACTGCACTGGTTCGTTTATTCATGTATTTGTTTATCCAGTAGTTTGGAGTTCTCATCATAAACCACAGAAACACTATGCTTGGCACTAAGAATACAGCCATAAAACAGATGTGATCCCTGTCCTCACAAAGCTGAGAGTCTTGTTTGGGCTCACATTATCTCTTTTTGAACTATTACTGTAACTCTTGTTTTCTGCTCTCTCTCCAGTCTCTCTACTCTTTATTTATACTGCACCAAGGCACTGAAATTTCTTTCTCAATTACTGGCAGATCAGTCCTTCTTAAAATAGGCAGCTCTGAAAGTCGACCATAGAGCTACCTATCAGCTACCAAATAAACTCCTCACTTCCTAGGGCAGCACTCCAAAACCAGCCATACACTGCCCCGTGCATTCTTATGTCCAAAAGCATTCTTTCATATTCACAGTGCCTCAGTCATACCCAATTGCTTGCTATCCTCCTAATGTACCTTTAACTTTCATGCCTTCAGTTCATGTATCCATACTGTCCTCTGTGCATTCAATGTGCTTCCCGACTTCTACTAGCAAAGTCCTATTCATCTTTCAAGTTCAGAGCCTTCTGTGATGCTGTTAGAATTCAACAACCAGCAGATATCTCATCATTCCCTACTATATATTCCTATAGTACTTTTCTACTTTTACCTCATTTCTCTCACAATTGATTTTGGTAATAATATCTTTCACTTCAGTTAAAATATAAATTTTGAGCACATTAAAAAAAATTAACCATCTTTTCTTTTCCTCAGCAACTAGATTAAGTGTTTAAAACAATCTGACCAGCAACAATATTATCAATAATTAGTATAATATTAAAGAAAAATTGGAAATAAGCTAAATGACTAATAATAGGAGATGGGTTAAAAAACACAATAGATAAAAGTTAACAATGGAAAAGCATAACATAGAAGATCAAAGGCTTTCAAGTCACACTTCCTGTGTTCAAATCCCAGTTTCACTACCTATTATGTAAACTTGAGTGGATTACTTAACTTCAAGTAACAGAATGCTTAAAAAAAAAACTCGATACATATAATCAATAAATAAAAATATAATCATGAATAAAACAGAGTTGAAAATACTTCTTTTTTGATATACTATGCAAGTTTTGAAAACTTAAGAATGAGTACTCTGAGAAATTCTAGTATAGTAACTTAAGGATAAAGGGCTTTTATTTTATTAGTCAATAAACACAAACAATCATATAAAGAAAAAAACATGATGACCTGGTTGGCATGTTCTGTGGCCCATTCTTCATCCAAGTTATCCAACTTTGCTTTGGAATGTTTGGGGCTCTCACTTTGTTCCTCTTTGGGTGGTGTTCTAGTGGCGAGAATCACATAATCCTTTTGTGAAGAACACTTAAAAACAAATCAGAAAAGCTTATTAGGGTGATATCTGAGGGAGGAATGCAACGCCCTTAAAAGATGCAAAAACTGAGCAATATTTATAGGAGCTTAAATTGTTAATATCTACATTATAATGGAATCTACAAGGAAACTAATTTTCATGGGTAGTCTTCCAACATTTCCTTCACATGTTATTTATCTTTTAATGTACTTAAAAATCAGCTCCTTATTTATTTGGGCATGCTGAATGTGAATTACATAGTGGTCCTTAAAAATGGCTTAACGAATGAATGAATGAACTGCGTTTAAACTCAAAGATACCAAGCTCATCAATTTTCTAGTTATATTTACCTTCTAAATAATTTGAACAGATTAGATGGCTCAGAAAATATAAAAACTCAGTAAAATAAAGCAACAAATGACCTTGTACATCTTACTTTCACTGAAACAATGACAGTAGGGAATTGCAGAAAAACAAGGGTATGTGGGACACACAACTGAAGTGATATCAGATTTATGTTCCTCAGTTTTAATAGCAATTAAATGGTAATCAAAAGTGGGAAACCTAAAGATAAATTTAGGAAACATTTAACAGCTCAGTCTCGTAGTGAAAATTTCCTACAAAGAAAGAGTAAAACTAAAAGTTAGCACGATGTTATGCTTACATATGATCCAAAATTCGCTTCATCCTGGACCAGAAAATAAAGGAAGAGAAATTACTTCAACAAAAAGTTATTTCCAGAAAGTTACTTGCAAATGTGCACACAGGAAAAGGTAGCTGTTAATTAAGAAAGCTCTTTCTATTCTTAAAAGAAACAAACAAACAAAAAACTGACCCTGGGAGTAGGAAACAGGCAAACTTGAAAGCCTGAGGAGGAGGAGAGAAAAGTGATGAACCCTGGAATCAAGAGAAAGAAGTATGTAGAACACGGGAAGGAATGGAAAGGCAGCATTAAGAAAGACTGGAAGTTTCCCCTAAATTGTGGGAGATATATTTGTAAGAGGGTGGTTTTATTGCGCTCTAGAAAGAGTCTATGTCCCAATAGTTTTATCTGCTACTAGGCCTCAAAATCAAACCCTGGACCAAAGCACACTCTCTCCTAAATAGTGTTTAGATGGAAGCAGCCAGTTTGTCTGTGTGACTCTCCTTTTTTTGTTGCTGTGTACTGCTGACAAGTCTTCTCTGCTGATTAAGACATTCTTCCTTCAATCGTAATAAATCAGAGGTTGCTTTTATTTTTTAAAGGTAACTTCCATTTTGTGTTAATTTTTAAAGCTTAATTCTAAGAGGGAAACAAAGTTTGTCTAATTTCCAAATTTCTCCTAATTACTTTCCCTTCCTCTCCATTGAAATCTACATTTTAAAAAATTCAATAAATGAGTACTATAATGTATAATAAAACATATAACCTATATTTGCTACCAGTCTGGTCTGGTCTGAGATAAGACAAACTAGTAATGGGAATAACACTGCCAGAAGCTACTTTTGTAAAGAATTGGACAACTGCGAATTAAAGATTAAAAAGGAGTAAAAATCACTTTGGAAAAACAATAAAATATAAATAATCTGATCAGTAAAATTCTAATTTTGGAGTTTCTACATTGTAAGTTACTTTTACATTGTCAAAAGGGAATGTGTTCTGACTCAGGCAAACCTAGGCTGCAGTCTTCTTCATTCTATCCCTCCATTCCCTAACTTGAGTTTATTGTTAAATGGCATATTTTAACTTTAAACAAACAGGTAATTTGTTTTATCAATAAGTGCACAGGAAAACATACATACCTGTCCTATTAAAAGGCCAGAGACAAAAGACTTCCCTTGGAGATCGATGTTTGAAAGATACTGGCCAACAGTCTCTTCAACAATGTAGGTTCTTCCCATTATTGAGAACTAATTCAATTTCCTAAGTTACAAGAAAAAATATAATGCAATTTTAGGTAAAAAATATAATTTGCAATGTTTCTCTTATGGGGGTAGTACAGAGAGAGCACAGAGTACCTGGTACTACCCTGTACCTTGCAGTGATTGCTTATTCAATAGAATATTCTTTCTTGCAAACTTCAAATGCAGCTTCAGAATTCTCAAGTGTTGCAGGAAATGATTACCAATCAACCAGAGTCGACATGAGAAATAAAACCTATTTCCACAAAGAAGAGAACACTAAACTAGTAGTCAACACACCTGATTTATTTAGATCTGCTACCTCTTAGTTGTATCATCTTTGATAATTTACTGATGAGCCCGTCTGGGCTCATTTCTAAAATAGAAAAGATGATAATTTCTGAGTTGCTCAATGGGAGGTAAAGAGAATCAAATTCGTGTATTCAGTAAGCGTACTATGAAGAACTAGCATGTACTGGCAACTGTGCCAAGTGGAATGGCACAAAGATGAATAATATTTGACATTTGCCCTTGAGTAATTCAAGGTACAACAGGAATTATGGAAGTAGATAAACAGCAATGCAATAATAACAAACATTTATATAGCTTCCACTTTGTGTAAGGCATTGTTTCAGTACTTTACATATGGTAACATTTAATATTCACAAAGAAAAACCTCAGGAGGTAGGGGATATATATACACACCCTTGTTTTATAGATGAAGAAACTGAAACAAAAAAAGGTAATGTAACTTGCCCAAGTGAGTCTCTCCATTAAACTTTTACTAAGGGTAGCTTCTATTCTGCTTTCTCTCCAGTTTGTGGATGAGAATCAGTATACTTCCTTTACTGACTCATGCTCCTTTGATTTGAGTTTCTGTAGCTTAAAACCAAAGATATTGAATAAAAGAGCCAGGCAATAATAAATGATGATCTCAAGGAGTTCACATTAAGTGTGGGATACACGAATGTAAAGAGACGATTCCAAAAAGCTATAAAACAGACAGAGACTAAAGAAACACAGTTGCAGCATTTTGAATAGAGGTAATAGTCATTTAAGTCCTGCAAAAAATTCCACTCTTATTCAGTACAACAACAGCCAGGCAACTCTGGATGTGCTGGGGTGGTTTATCTGACACCAGTAAAGTAAACCACCAGTCACAATGATTTTACATGACCCTAAAACTAAAGCCCAGAGAATTGGTTCTAGTTTTAAATGGCCTAGTAGATGCTCTTTTTTTCAGAGCCTGTTCAATTTTGTCTCAAAATGCATTAACTTTCTTCCTAGCTCTTTTCTGACAACCATGCAAGTAAATTGGGTTTGCACAATTTTTTTTTTTGGCTAAGTCTAGAACTGCCTGTCTAAATCATTAATGTCTGTATAAAGTTTTGGCTTTCCACTTTTTACACCTAAGGTATGCTTTTCTGTATATTAAACTTTCCTCTACTTAATCATGCTGTTCTACTCCTTTTCCTTCTGCCCTAGATAATTCTTAATTCTTACAAGAAATAGCAGTGACAGTTACTCCAAGGTTATGATATGTAATTTCTGATCTTTTTTTCCAAGGGGTCACCTACTAGCCACGTTAATGTGTAAGAAACCGCAATAAGAGGATGAAAATCTTCGGGTTATGAAATCTGGTTGAATGTCAGATATTCTTTTTCTTTAGTGCTCCTTCAAAACTTAAGTGTAGCTAACCATACATTATAGAGGACAGTACTAAACATGTAAATCTTATCTTAAACAGTTCAAGGTTTTCCTGAAATGCTCTGTATCAGCAGAAGCTTTGCAACTTGTTCAAACACTGACTTGAGACAACTCAACTTTCCTGGACTCTGGCTTCCTAGTCTACAAAATAAAGAATTTGGATCAAAATAGGTCTGAAAACCTATCTAATTAAGGATTCTGTGAGTCCAAGTACAGAACATCTGCATTTTCCAAATGGTAAATCAATAAGGATAATATTGTACCGCACATACCAGCAACCTTAGATTAAGTGCTCATATAAAATATTTTAGGGGGAAAAATATCAACCTTAAGCCCCTTACTGATATTCTCAAAGGTCTGCTACTGTGGGAACTGCAGGGACGACGAAATTAGGAATCCTTTATTTTTCAATAAAGGATTTTAAAAATTATTTTCAAAGAGTAATCATACATGAAACAACCTATGGTTTCAGCTTAGAAGTCACAGAATTAGGATCTAGAAACAAGTAGTTCTGTTATTGCGGCAGGGTGAATAGTGGTTTCTAAGAATGTATTTAGAAGCTTCTGTTACACCAGTTTTTCAATTTTAACGATACACACGCAAGCCAACATTTTTTGCAACGTTATCTTAAAATATAAAAATAAAAGCAATACTCAAGCTCCTCTTGGTTTCTTAAAGTCCTCTTCCTCGAAAATGAATCCAGTTCCTTAAATTTCTGTTGAATCATGTTACCCACCCCTGCCACCAAAAAAAAAGCACCTAAATGAGTGTCATAACTGGACTTAAGTTGTACAGGAGTGTCCGTCCATATGTTTCCTACACCGTCCCTTTCTTTCCTCCTTGAAAAGGAAGCTCTCTGTGCCCGAGTGCACACAACTCACACACACCACAACTCACACACACACACACCCCCACCCCTCCACCCTCAGGCTGACTCACCTGTTCTCACCTGTTCTCAGAACGTGCACGCGTGGCAGACAAATCTGTCGAACCGCCAGTCCGCCTGAGGAGGTGGTTCAGGATGCAAGTACCAGCCTCCGGGACCAGACTCCAGACAGGTCTCAACTCCACAACCAATGAATTCATCAGAAAGCGACGGACTTCCCACACCTCACTTCCCACTCCAAACCCGGGGTCTCTGGAAGCAGGTGACGCAGATTGATGACGCGCGCGGGCTCCCTCCTTTCACCTCAGCGCCTCAGCCAAAGCGGCTGCGGTCGCCACCCCGCCCCCTTCCGGGCGCCATTGAGAGCGTGGCGGTAGCCCGGCGCCTGCCGTCCGGCCCTGCCGGGACCGATGCCCTCTAGCGGCTCAGTGTCTAGAAGCCGCCAAAGAGGACGACCCATGGCGTCCCGGAGCTTTGACGGTAAGGTCGTCCAGCTCTTCAGGGAGGAGCGTAGGTTGACGAGTACTATGTGGCGCCACCTCGCGGGCAGTGGTAGCGCAGCCGGATAGGAGAGCCGGGGGGCGGGGAGAAAGGAGGAAACGGAATGGGTGGTGCGGAATGGGGCTTCGCGAAAAGAGATTGAAAAACAAAAATACGTTTCCCAGAGGCCTGCGCGGCTTGAAGCGGGTGGAAAAGAGGGCCGGAAAGCGGTGTGCACGGCCGGGTCAGAGGCCGCCTCTGAACTCGGCTTCCCAGGGTGCACAGTTTCCGGCGGCTGCGCGCGCACTTCGACCGCGGGCGCTGCGGCGCTTCTGGGGCTGCAGCTAACGCAGGACTCGATTTCCCAGGGTCCCGCCGCGGGAGTCTCCGGCGGGCGGGCGCGCGCGAGACCCCGAGTGAGGTGGCAGAGGCGGCCGCCCAGGCTTCTGGGTCCTCTTCTTGGTCTTCGCTTTTCTTCTCCGTGTCTGCTCCGTCGGCCGCTGCCCCCGCGGTCCCCGGGCCGATCGACATGGCGGCTGTGTTGCAGCAAGTCCTGGAGCGCACGGAACTGAACAAGCTGCCTAAGACCGTCCAGAACAAACTTGAAAAGTTCCTCGCTGACCAGCAGTCCGAGATCGATGGCCTGAAGGGGCGGCACGAGAAATTTAAGGTGGAGAGCGGTAAGTGCGGCGCTCTTCCCGCCCTGGTCCCAGGGGGCCGGCCCCGGTGGCTGTGGCTGGTCTCCTCCCCGTGCAGCCTCGCACCGCCTGCGGCTTCACTGTAGCATCGCTTCCCTGGTTGCGTGGGCGCCGTAGGCTTTCTCTTAACCGCTCCTCTCACACAGTTTGATACGAAGGGGCCTCTTTGTTCGTTTATGAAGTCTGAATCCATATTGAGTTCCATTTTCTTTGTTATTAGGGTGGTCTCACTTAGGGGCACCTAACGTTGCCCGGCAAACAGGAATTGCGAAGATTTGGGTCTGTTTACCCCGGGCTAGGAGTCTGCGACTCTTGACTTTTCTGAGTCTAGGGTACAACGTCTGTATATTGCACATAAAACGACAGTAATTTCTGCTCTGTTTCCTAGTAGTCAGCATTCACAGGCCTTTGTCTAATTGATTACTTCCTGCACTTGTTCTGAATGTGTGTCGTTCAGATAATGAACTAGATGTTCACAAAAATGAGTAGGTCCATAAGACCGCGCTGGAAGCACAGTGAACGTGCAGTAAATGTTTACTGTATCAGACTTCTCTCTTAAAGTTGGAGTTTGTTAGAAAATATCTTAAGATCTGTTTACAAATACCGGTAATAGACCCTCAAATAAGAAAGTTTTTGACAATAGTGACTTGAACGTCCTTGAACAAAGATTAAGAGCATAGTAATTACCGTTAGTAGAATACAGTTTTTGGTGTGTGTCTTGGTTTACCTGTTGTTTGGAGGGATTGGCACTGGTTTTTGCTAAGTTGATTGAAATCTGAAAAAATTTTCACTTCAAAAAAATAAAGGTAATGATCAAGCAGAATTGATGTTGAAAATTAATTCTCGAATTCCAATTCTGAATATAGCACACTGCAGTCTATTCATTAATGTACACAATAAATATTGAGTGTCTTCTAAGTGCCCATACTTTGCTGAACAGTACACTATCAGTCGCTTCTCTTGGAAAGTTAACACACTTACTTTTAGATAGATTTAGTAATTTTATAGTTTCAGATATTTTATCTAGTTTAACACAAGCCTTTTTAAAGCAAAGCAGTTTTTAACCCAAATAATTTTTCTCCATTTAATAAATATGTATTTTTAGTTTGCTTTATGCTAAGAAATGTACTGATATATGGAGAAAATACTAAGAGAAGTAAGACATGTTGCCTGCCTTGAAGAAGTTGGTAATCTTGTTGATTAGACAGATAAATAGTTTGTTAAAACCCCTTCAGACCTGGTTTTTTTTTGTCATATACATCTAAGACAGTCGGAAATATTAAAGTCCTTTTCAGTGCTTGATCTATTTATCTTTACTTAAATACTCATATTTGGAGTGCAGTTCCAATACTATGTTCTAAATTTTAAAATCAAGGTTATTAAAAATAAGTAGCAATATTGACAGTGTGTGTACATGTTTGACTTTGTTTACCTCTCTGACTGTTTGCAGAACAGCAGTACTTTGAGATAGAGAAGAGGCTGTCCCACAGCCAGGAGAGACTTGTGAATGAAACCCGAGAGTGCCAAAGCTTGCGACTTGAGCTAGAGAAGCTCAGTAAGTATTTAATTATATCTTTCTAGTATTCTTGGAAGATTGAGGTCTTCAGATGTTCTTTGGCATGCTTCGGAAACATTTACTTACTGTATATGAAAATACTGATTGTCCTTGTTTTTGTTTATGGTAATATTTTGATTTTTCACTCAGTGGTAAAGACTTTCTAAGAATACAGAGCTTACTGGTCGGGAGGCATGGGTTCTAATTCCGACTGCTTACAAGTTTTTTTTTGACATATGTTAATCATAACTGATTATTTCTATAAAATGGCTAGAACCACATGTCCATCTACTTAACAACTGTACAGATCACATGAGGTATGTTTGAAAGCATTTTGGAAAGGCTAAAGTATCATGGAACTGAAAAAAATAATTAAAGAGCATGACTATTTTTATGTTGAAAAATTAAAGCCTATTAGTTCCATAATTGTAGTCTTGTTTTTAACTTACACTTTTTATAAATATTTATGCTTATCAGGAAGTAATTTCTTCTTTAAGGCCTAATTTCTGCAAAAGATGAGCAGCTAATTTTTTTCTTAACTAGTTTTCTTATATCATTAAGTCCTAGAAAAGTACACAGGATCTTAAAGATCCTGACATTTCTTGGGAAGATGATGTGTTTTACGTGTTTTGCTTACGACGGAAGAAATAAATGTTAGGAAGATCTTTATAGAGTAGGTGCATAGTATCTGTTATTAGGTGTAGCTGGATTTTAATTTGATTGAAAATGCAGAAAGCTAATAATCAAGTGAATGATTGAAACTTTAAATCTTTTTTAACTGCATCCATACCCATTAGCTATTTGAGTCAAAATTCTTTTCAGCTAATTTTGGCACGTCTCATTTTTAAGACATGTGGTATACCCACAATAGTGTGTATACATGTGTAATGAAGGTATTATTAAGTAGCTAATTCCAGTTCATCATCTGTACATAGTTTTATTTTGGTATAATAAAAAGGTCTGTGGAGCAGTGGTGCTAAAAAAATTTCAGGAAAATGACTGTGATCACAGCTTCTTTTATGAGATCTGGAAAAGGGAGAGTGAGAAGATCGGGAAAAACCTAGACAGACATCTAGTATGCCTTCCTGGGATGTACAGCTGTGTTTATATTTTTTTAGTTTGTTCTGTATCTGTGAGTTTGGAAAGCAGTAAATAGTATTAAAACAAAATAGAAAATTTAGACTAAGTTAGCAGGTCTTTTTAATAAGCCAGTTTAACTTGTTTGAAAGTAATAATAATGTATGTGCTCATTAAATTGTTAGCACATAATATAGATGTGCTTTATTTTTATTTTTTAATTTGGGGGGAGGTAATTAGATTTATTTATTTATTTTTAGATGAGGTACTGGAACTTGAACCTAGGACCTCGTGCATGCTAAACATGCACTCTACCACTTAAGCTATACCCTTCCTCCTATATGTGTTTTAGTAGATGAAAGTTTCAGAAACTATACTCTTCCTAATTATCAGCATGTGTTTAGAAGAGAAGCTGAACCGGGAGATAGCCCATTATGAGCAGAGATTGTGAGACTGAAAATTTAGAATCAAGTATAGCTCTCTTTATGATGATAAACCAGCAGAATTACAATTCTCCGTTACTGTGACTTACTCTGTATACATTTTATGTAGTTTAAATACTACTCCTGATTTTCTCCTCTTTTACTTAGTTTTTTTATCTGTAAATATAATTCACATTTTGATTGACTTAGAAAATGTCATTGAAAAATAAGGAAGTTGATAATGGCATATGCTATTTCCTATAAATATTGGCTAGAATGATCACAAATATGATTTTGGAGACAGGATAGTATATTTAAAAATTTGTACTAGAAATACAGTAAGTGTGGGATATACTCATGAATTTGGAATGCAGTGTTGTCCAACTCAGCCTTTCAGAAACTCAGCTTCTTTATTTCAAAATGTATCTATGAATGGCAGTTGAATAAAAACTATTATTGCAAGTTTTGAGTTTCTGTGTGTATGTTCATAAAATTCCTTTTATCCAGACAGTCAGCTGAAGGCACTAACTGAGAAAAATAAAGAACTTGAAGTTGCTCAGGATCGCAATATTGCCATTCAGGTAAAAGTTATTCCTCTGAATAAAGCTAATTATGAACATGCTAATTGTGAAGTTTTTTATTACGATTGTGCTTATCACTTATTTAGTCAATGGGAAGGTGAAACATGTTCAGTTAGGAGAAGCTACTAACAAAAATGTATAGATATAAATTTCTTCAATAGGATCTTTATGTGTTTCATTGGTTGATTGGGTATTCCTTTTACTCCTTAGAATATGTATTTGTATTTGATATTTAAAAAAACACTTGCTTTTAGCACTGTAGCTATTATAAGTCGTGATTTAAAAAAAAAACTGCATTGTGAGTAAAATGCCATAGAACTTTAAGTAGACATTCATAACATCCACCCCTTACTAACTTTCCATTTTCTATATTTATTTATTTATTCTATATTTATATTATTTGTTTTATATATTTAATTATTTATCCTATATTATATATTGATCTAC